GGCCTCCGGGAGGGCAGGGCTGGGTGCCACAGGGAGGGCTCCTTCAGGCACTGAGACGCTTGTCTCTGGCTTCAAGGGCAGGGCCAGGCCGGGGGCTGGCGGCAGGACCTGGGAGACCAGCATGCTGGTGGGGAAGGTGGCGGTGAGGATGATCTTGCCCTGCTGCAGGGCCACACCCGTCACGATGGGGCTGCCAGACACAGGGTTGGCCAGGAGGAAGTTTCCTGTGGGGAGAGGAGTGTCCCACCGCAAGGTTAGGGGTGGACTTGGCCATAGGGCAGGCAGACAGATGGGGGAAGGGCTGAAGCCTCAAGGCACCGGGCCGGCACAGAGGGGCCCGGGGACTTGACAGGGATGAGATGCCCCCCGGAAGCCCATGGACAGCCCCCTCCCTCTCTGAGATAACTGCACCCCTCCCCCCAGGCCTGAGAGCGGCAGTCGGGGTACCTGGGGCAGCGGCCGAAGGCAGCTGCAGGGCCGTCACGCCCACCCCGGAGTTGATCAGGTGCACGTTGGCAGGGCCTGCTGCCGCTGCCACCTTCACAGGGCTGGCTGTCCCCGCCGCCAGCAGCTGTAGGGGCCCCACGGCCTGGGGCAGGGTCACCACCTGCGAGGTGGGCACCACCTGGGGCAGGTTCAGCAGCGGGGAGGTGGGGCCCAGGCCCGTTGGGTACCCTGGGGGTGGGGACAGTGGCACCACCTGTGGAGCAGCCACAGCAGGCACTGGTCCTGGGGGCAGAGGAAAGGTGGCGGCCGGCGGCGGGCCCGGCACCACTTGGGGCAGGGGCCCTGGGACCTCCTCTCCGGCCGGCCCCGAAGCAGCCACCTGGGTCCCCTTGGTCTCGGGGGCCTCAGGCTGAGCCTCCTCCAGCCGAACCTCCCCGGTCTGAGGGTCCAGGACCAGGGCGGCTTTGGCCTCGCTGGCCCCCTGGGGACTGGGCTGCGTCGGAGGGGCGGCCCCGCCCCCCGTGAGCAGCAGGGGGCCCAGGCTGGGGGCCTCGCCCAGGGCCAGGCTGTTGATGATGACCGGGCTCCCGTTGAGGAGCACGGCGGGAGGGCTGCCGGCCGCCAGGAAGCTCCCGTTCACCAGGATGGAGGGGGAGGCCGGGCAGGGCGCGGGAGGGGTGGCCCCGGCCAGGAATATGGAGCCCTGGGCCGTGGTCTCCGCGGGCACGGGGGCCGCCCCCCTCTCCAGGTCCTCAGGACTTCGGCTGGACTCGTCCTCGGTCGTGGGGTTCCCATCAGACTCGCTGGCGGGAGAAACCATCGTGAGGACTGCGAGCCGCTGCGTCGGCGGCCGCGCCTCCCCGGCACAGGCCGCCCGCGCGCCCACCCTTCCCGAGCTGTCGGGGCCCCTCGCGCGGGCTACGACGCCTCTCCGAGACCGCCTGGGGCCCGGGGCCTCGCGCCGACGTCGAGGGGAGGGAGAGGCCCTGCCTCCCGCTGCCTGGGCCTCGGGTCCCCGGAGGCTGCGCATCCAGGGCGCCCTGAAGTTTCCCGGCTGGGCGGAACGCGGGCGGGTGGCCTGGAGAGAGCGAGGCGTGGACGCCGGCCCAGTGCCCGACGCCCTCCCCGCGGGGCGTCAGAGGGGGGAGAGGCCGGCCGCACGGGGTGGGAGGGGAAGGGCTTGGGTTACAGGGAAACCGGAGCCCGGGAAGGTTCACGTTTCACAACAAAGGCAGGCGACCGGCCACGCTGTTTGGGCCCCGAGGGGTTGGGGCGGCGGGGAACCG